GCCATCTAGTGGATTCATTGCAACACCATCAACAATCGAGAGCCTACCTAATCACCAACTTAAAACCAAATTTTCCCCGTAAACGCATCGAGGAACTGTAGGACGTTTCCAATTGGCACAAACTAAACACTTTTCTTGATCCGCTTTAGGTGGGTGGGTTAAGTGCACTTCGATTCTCGTCTCATTTCACTTGCATTTCCTTTCGTTCAGTCTCGTTCTGAGAGTGGAATCGAACCACTCACTCCATTTGGATTTAGAGTCCAAAGGGGCCAACGAAATAGGATTTACAATCCCACGCCAGCACAGCAGCCACGTCGGTCGCCATACGGCGCCTCCCTGCCGCCGTGCACAATTAGGCCGCCAGTCGTCAACTTCTCTAAGATCCTCGCATCCACCATAACGGTCCTACTCTCACTAGTAACAAATACATTATTGTCGCCATGGACAACGTGGCCGCATATGCCCTCACCCTCGCCATGGGCACCTGGGAGAACCCTACCGCGACTGACATGAACAACGTCGAGTAGTGCACCATGGAGAGCTCCCTCCATGACTAGCTGGCCATCGCTGGACAACCTCACCATTCAGGAGATATACAGGGATACTCTGGTGAGCACCATGTTGCCGTCACCCACTACGTTTCCATCTCTTGTGGCATTGCCATCGCCGACAAAGATGCCAGTGACGGCGTTCGCTCCGTCCGCTAAGATGGTCAGGCTGACACCATCTCTTGTCTCGAGGAAAGGAAGGGGATGGAGGCGCTGAGCCCTGTGTGCCATGGTTGGAGGTGAAGTAGTATATACCCCTCCGTCCCAGTATAAATGCACATATTGTTTTTTGAGGAGTTATTTTTTTAAGTTTGACTAGGATTATAGAAAATAATATCAGCATTTGTATCTTCAAATAAGTTTATTATGAAAGTATATTCAATACTCATTCTAATGGTATTTATTATACATCAAAGTAATCTGTTGGAGGAGAAAAAGAGCTACATTATTAATAATAAAAGATCAACTATATATATTCTTGGAGATGTAAGATAAGTAATCTACTACCTCTATTCCAAAAAGAATGTGACTGAGTTCCATGCCACGTAAAGTGTTTTACCTTTGACCAAGTTTGTAGTGATTAATATTCACATTTATAGCTTCAAATTAATTTATTATAAAAATATATTTTGTAATTAATTTAATGATATTTATTTGGTATCATAAATATTAATATTTTTTATTTATAATTGGTTGTTGGTATATTTTAATGCACACAGATAAATCTACAAGCGTATGGATGCTGCTGTAGATTTCACCCGGAAGTATTCTAAATATCGTATCCACAGGAAAACGTGTGAGACTAACTATGGTCTAACTTAACTAAGGATAATAACAAGGTTAGAATAAATAGGAGCGTAGAGAGAAAAACTAAGGTTCTCTAATTCTGACTTGGATAAGCTATGTCTTCTATTATTTAACTGGGGATATTACTAGGGAAAGACACCAGCAGAGGATGATTTCCTTCCCAACTGCGTCCTACGTGCCCTTACAAATGGGAGGTGGACTACAGATGATTCAACGAGGCTATAAGAGTCAACCTCGTGAGCTACCACCAATCCGAAATGCAAGATGCATCCATAAGTAACCAGAGTCTAAGCACCACGCTTACACTACAATTACTACTTTACTTTTTCCGGATAAAGAATAAAGCACTCAAATAAATTGTGAACCTGATGAATAATATAAAAAAGAAGCTTACTTGAATCAGAAGTTAATTATTAGAGAAAGAGACAAGTTCAGATAGAACTTGGATCCGTCAAGGTACAAACCGTAGAAAGAGCACCGATAGGTCCGCGCCTCCTCCAAACTCTTTCCTCACTCTCTATCTCACTATTTCTATTTATAAGACTAGATCCTATGGAGGACTAATCTTCTCTTGATAGTTGGCTTTGATCCTGAGGAGGAGAATATGAATTAGGGTTACAGGATGACCTCTAGGGAGGGGGTAGGGGCTGCTATATATAGGTCGAGGTGGAGTAGGGGCCTAGGGGGCAAGGAATTGAGATGGGGTAGGGGGCAAGTAATCGAGGTGGAGTATAGGGCAAGGAATCGCCACGTCATCGATCCGTATCAACTCCCTCGACCACCGTTGGATAAACCGACCTAAACCCACCTTAAAATCAACGATATAGATCGTAGGAAGGAGTACGAGGTGGCAGAGAGCGAGCGGGCTCCGTGACAGGTCGGGCGGCCTCCCTAGTGGGCCGGCTGGCCCACTATTGTGGCCATTTGGTCCAAGCTTCGGCGTGATGTCTTCTGGAACCTTCTAGAGTTGTATTTCGTAGTTTTCACGGGTTGAATCACTTATTGTCGTCGGTTTGCTTGTTTAGAGTGTATGACAGTGGTCCCGGGAGCTGTTTTCTAGATAAATCCTCCTGCATACAAATATTTATCAAAGCTCGTGGAATTTATTAGTTTAAACCCCTATACCCATGTTTGGTGATAGAATTAAATATAAATTCAAGTTATGTTGACGGTTTATAATTGGTGTTAGTGACCGTCAACATTGGTCAAATTTTTTTTCTTGAATATGCAAAAGATTTACGTATCATTGTATTAAGTAGAAGAGTTTAAAACATATAATGCACTTCTATCGAGCGCCGAAGAAGGTCGACCTAACACAGCCGAAGCAGGACCATCCTAGTAAAAGACCTCTTGTTTTGATATTACATAAAAAGAACAACCAATACCGACACAGCTTTGCGACCTAGAAGGTGGCCTTGCGTCTTCGCGGCTGCCTGGACGAGCCCTTACCAATGGCCGGGAAGAGTGCGTCCAACGTCTCGGTGTTGGACGCATCAGGTTGCCGCTAAAGAGCTTGTCAAAGGCCTCCAACTTCGACGTCGATGGCGCTGATGGACCCTTAGTGTAGCCCATACGCTGCATGACCAATACATCACCTCGTTTGGAAGCTAGTACTCGAGAGAGGCTCTGAGCCGCCAACCGCCTGCTCCGCCATGGCAGCATCGCCTTAGCAGGAGGCTGCTTGGGAGGCTCATGGATCAGCGGAGAGTTCCTCTTACGCGTCACTTTGTTGATGAAGCTATCGAGACGGTGTTTGGCGGAGTTGTCGTTGTCCACAGTCGGTAGGTATCCACCGGTGGTGAACTGAGAGGGTCGGCATCCACCGTGAGGTCGACTGGTCCGAAGCCTGGCGGGTGGTTGAGCTCCTTGTGTGTTTTCGACGAGTCCACTGCCCACTAAATGGGGCGCGGGGGTGGTGTTCGCATCTCACATGAGACCACCGTTGGGTCCTCATCCTCCAACTGGGGGGCTAAATTTAAGGTAATAAAATATGACACTATGTTAGAACTGTATTATTTCCGGGATGAAGGGAGTATTGAAGATGCTCTAATACTGTACATTTATGTATGCCGTTTCTTTGGTTTCCCCACAAACTGTACTTTACATATTGACGTGATGTGCGAAAGTCAGCGGATTAGAAAATTCTGAAGTTTCCTATACGTCACGGACTTAATTGCACAGTAATTTATTATTTTTGAACGAGTATAACGAGCAAGATAATTGTCGAGGAAAACCCCCACTATAATAATACTTCCTCCATCCCATAAAACATGTAAATCTCGCTTTTTAAGGCCACATTAGTCAAGATATGAAATTACACATGTGCCCCTACTGTCTCCTTCTCAACACACATCTAGAACTCAAAAGAACCATCTCGAACCTTCACCTGAAGTGTAGAGTTAACATGATTTTTCAATTGATGTGTATTTTTTATTAGTAGGTCCCACCATAAAGCTTATCTTCAATCTAGATTTACATATTTTTGGGGACAAGATTTAAGCCACGTGATCACTTTTTTTTTTTTTGACGGAGGGAGCAGTAAATAAAGCAGGAAAAAAAGGAAAATTCTTTACGTGCCTCCACGTCTTCCACTGACCGCAGCACAGCAACTCACTGCCGGGTGGGCGCCGCACGCCTGCTGCACAGCCCCCCAGCGCGCCGCGGCGACACGGGAGCCCAACCCATCCCGCCCGCTTCGGTTGCCTGCCTGCCTCGTCGGCTCCACCTCACTCACTCGCTTCTCCCCATTCCGGTCTTCCCTTCCGCGCACGCACGCGCGCACGTAGTAGCCGCAGCCCAGCCGCTGCTACCCCCTGCGTCGTCTCCTTCCCCGTGCACCGCACACGCAGGCAGCAGCCCATATCCTCCATCGCCTCCCGCTTGCGTCGCCTCCAGCGCGGCGCCGACCTGCCTCTCCATTATTATTATTATTTATACATTTGTGCGTCCCTCACCCTCCGCTTTCCCAATCCAGCCGAGCACCGCAATCGCAGGGCACCGGAGCGATTAAAAAAGGCATCCTCCTCCCGCAAAGGTAAAAACAAACAACCACCACCGCATCGCGGCAGGCAAGGCATCGCTCGCCAGCCACCGAGCGGAGGGGGAAGCAAAAGCTCGATAAAAAGGAGAGGAGGAGACGAGGCCTGCCGTCCGAACCCAAGCAACTTCCTCCCCCCACCAGCTCCCTCCCATGCCCGCATCGAGATCTTAGCGGGACAGCGAGAGGAGAGGCGACGCGGACGCGGGCGCCCCCGATCCCTCCTCGCCGCCGCCGCCGCCGACCGACCGACCGGTAAGCTTCCTTCCGATCCGACTGTCGCGTGCAGCGGGCTCCTCGCAGCGCCGATCGGTGCCGGATCGCGCCGGGGGCGGCTGGATCTGGTACGGATCTCGCGGCGGCCGCGCAATTCCGTGGCCTTGTGAGGGGGCGGTGGCGTTTTGCCCCGTGTGGGCGCGCGCGCTCGTGGCCCCGATCGCGGCGTTGCTTTCGGCTCGGATCTGTCTGATGTCCCGCGTGCGTTTCTGTGGTGAACGCTGTGGATAAGTCGGGGTTTTGTCCGCAATTGGCAGTGGCTGGCTGGTATGAAACTCGGCCTGCTTTTGTGGATTGCAGGGGGAGGAGGAGGGGAGGGGAGGACGGACACGATGGAGGCCGACTCCGGGAAGCTCTTCGTCGGCGGCATCTCCTGGGAGACGGACGAGGACCGCCTCCGCGAGTACTTCGGTCGCTTCGGCGAGGTCACCGAGGCCGTTATCATGCGGGACCGCAACACCGGCCGCGCCCGTGGGTTCGGGTTCGTCGTCTTCGCCGACTCCGGGATCGCCGAGCGCGTCACCATGGACAAGCACATGATCGACGGGCGCATGGTACTTGTCTTATGCTGTCGCCTCCTCCTCTGCTGTTGCATTGACGTGCATTTTGCTGGGAATTCTGTTGTGGAGCTGTTTCTCAATGTACGAGCTGAATTGTCTGTTCGTGATTTAGGTGGAAGCAAAGAAGGCCGTTCCCAGGGACGACCAGAGTATTGCGAGCAAGAACAATGGCAGCAGCATAGGGTCACCTGGACCAGGACGTACTAGAAAGATCTTTGTTGGAGGTCTGGCTTCAAATGTTACCGAGGTCGAATTTAGAAGGTACTTTGAGCAATTCGGTGTGATAACTGATGTGGTAGTGATGTATGACCACAACACGCAGAGGCCTAGGGGCTTTGGTTTCATCACATATGACTCAGAAGACGCAGTGGATAAGGCACTGCACAAGAACTTCCATGAGCTGAATGGTAAAATGGTTGAGGTCAAGAGGGCTGTACCAAAGGAGCAGTCTCCTGGACCTATTGCACGTTCACCTGCGGGAGGGCAGAACTATGCTATGAGCAGGGTTCATAACTTCCTAAATGGCTTCAACCAGGGTTACAGCCCTAACCCCCTTGGTGGTTATGGCATGAGGGTGGATGGAAGGTATGGTCTCCTTACAGGTGCACGGAATGGGTTCTCTTCGTTTGGTCCAGGTTATGGAATGGGCATGAATGTTGAAGGTGGAATGAGTGGGTATTTTGGTGCAAGTTCTGGTTTTGTCAATAGCTCCAATGGGCGGCAAATAGGTTCTTACTTCAATGGTAGTTCAAACAGATTAGGTAGTCCAATTGGGTATGTTGGCCTTAATGATGATTCAGGATCAATACTGAGTTCAATGTCTAGAAATGTCTGGGGTAATGGAAATCTGAACTACACAGGCAACCCTACGAACACAAATTCTTTTGCTCCACCTGGAAGTGGTGGGGGTATTCCTGGTGATGAAATTAGTTGGGGAAGCCTTACTTCTGCTCATGGGATGGGCAACATTTCAAACCTTGGATCGGGAAACCTTGTCCGTGGAACCGGAGATAACAACTTTGGTTTGCCTTCTGGAAACTATGTGAGGAGCAATTCAACTGGTACAATTGGTGAGCCATTTTCTGCATCAGCCAATGCATATGAATCGAACAATCCAGGTGCATATGGCAGCAGCTCTATTTATGGTGACTCAACCTGGAGGTTTAACTCATCTGAGGTTGATATGCCTCCTTTTGGTCATGATCTTGGAAATGTTGATCCGGATATCAAATCAGAAATATCGGCAAGCTATATGGGCAACTATACTGTTAATAATAATCAGACAAGCAGAGGTCAGTTGCTATTTCAATATTGTGCTATGATCTACACATGGTTTCCTCTTTCTTTTAGAAAGGAAATGTGCTGCATAAATAAGTTAGATGCTTGAAGGGCTGAAAAACATATACAAAGTGCAGTCCTCATTTCCTCACTTTTGGAATGTAGCTATTGATTCTGGAAAAGAAAGTTTAATCTATTTTGGATTTTGGATAAATAGGATGACGTAGCAGCATTAACAGACCTTTCTTGTAGGACAACTACAATGCACAGGACTTATTAACCAAATCTTGTGTTTTATCACCCATTCTTCCAAGTGATGTACTTGACTAACACTCTTGATTCTACATTTATTACCAAATACAAGATTGATCATGTAAATTTGGCATATATCCTATTTTCTATGTTGGGACTTGCATCTTTTTTTTTATGCCTCAATACTTCAAGTACAAGCGATAGTAGTATCTGAACTTAAGCACAAACTCACATCCCACACCCCACACGCACGCAACCGCGCACACACTGTGCGCAAGATAGATCTACACCTATACCTAAAGACACGTGGCTGAGAGGTACTTGAAGATCATTAGACTCCAAGCGTGCCGGACACGACACCTTGACCATTATGGAGCATCCGAGCTTGAGGCTGCAAAGAAAACTAGGGAAAATCCCCTGTGCGAAAACCTGCGCTGAGCAGCATTCGAACGCGGGCGGTGGGCGCTCCACCGAGCGTGCCCAACCAACCGAGCCTCTTTCTCGTTCGCGTTGGGACTTGCATCTGATAACAGATTGCTGATACGCGGCCGCAGGCATGTCCTTGCCATTAGTGGCATGTCCTAAATACCCGGGGTTCGTTGTCTTTTTTCGACCCAGCGGAAGAGAATCTTCTACCTTTCCCTTTCCATCAACGCCTCAAGGGAGGTCTTGCACTTTTTTACTACTGCAACAAGATCAACAAGTCAACAACAACAATAAAGCCTTTTTAGTCCCAAACAAACTGGGGTAGCCTAGAGATGAAACCCACATGAGCCAAGGGAAAGTAGAATTTATAACAAATAAATACATCTTCAACAAGAGTAATATTATTAGGGGATCTAATTATCTAAAGCCTTATTCATGGTTCAGGCATGTGATACCTTATCAGTTAAGCCTTCTGGTGTGTTGATATATAAAATACAAATTCTTTTTGAGTTCTCTCCTGCTTGATCAGTTAAAAACTTAAATATAGATTATTGACACTAGTAGGTACCATATTGTGATTATGTAATAACACTGTGGGACTCACATGTTACATTAGCACTTGTATTTAGCATTGAGTTGTGCAGTCCAATGCACTAGAGTATCAACTTGCAGAAACTTGTAGAGCTGTGAATGATGATCAATACCAAAATTTGACATTCACATTTCCCCTAAAATAGATGGAGGGTTTTCTTGTTTGCAATTCGGTTAGTTTTTAATCAACGATATTTGACTGCGTACAAGCTCTTTTCTGCCAATCTCAACACGATCGTTCCAATAATATTTCCTTTGGTGAAATGCAATTTGGATGCGTTCAATTTAATTGTTTTACCTTTTAATCTTGGATTATAGCATGTAGTCAAATATCAAGAGAAGCCGCGACATCATTGTGCTAGTTGTTATCTTGCACGTATAAGACACAATCATTATTAAATCAACAACAGGAACCATCCAGAGAACAGTCAAATTTTGGATCAATCAATAGCTGAGTTATGTTCTGACTTATGATGATCGCATCACTTCCTACTAATTCACTATCCAAGTTGAATATGTATATTGACAACTGTCCTCCACCTATGGCTATTAACAATAAGAAAGAGCCAACTGAACACACCATTAGGCAATAAGACCATGCCAACGCTTATGCTTCTTGTTCTTCTAGATTTTCTCGACAGCATTTTCTCTTTGTTATTTTTCACATCAATCACATGCTTTGCAAAACAAGGGAAACAGGCTAGGTTTACTTGAGCATGCCTCAGTCAGTGCCAAATGTTTTAAATATTTATAAGTTCTTTCCTTTCTAAAAAATAAAAATAAAGGGTAACTTAGTACCCTTATGTGGTTATGTGTTAATGTTAATCATAGTTAAGGTTCACTAAGCTAATGCTGGATGTTTTCCCCTTCTGAAATTTTGTACCATTTTATCTTTGCAGTTAAAAGTTGTGAAGCTACACCATTATTTTGGATAATTATGAAAACTGTATCCTGATTTACTGAAAGAATATCCATTTCATATAGTTAATTGATGAAATTTGTAACAAACTAACATTTTTTTTGCAGTCACATGTGTTCAGTATTCTGACAATAAATTAATCCTATTTATAAACAATAATTTAATTTGATTAAGGTCCGAATTCTAATCATCTTGCAAACTTTGCTGGTTAGTCAGTGATGTAAGACACTTGTATTAAATCGAAAAGTGGATGCGTGTGTTGTTTCTAATTAAATTGGAATTGTTGCACTGGATAAGTTTGTTGTTGGCAATGCTATTTTTCATCAACCAATCTATGCCTGAAATACACTCTTTATATTCTTAAAACATTTTTTAGGACAGCTATAGAACTTTAAACTTGACTACAATTTGTTGTATCCTTTTTCAGGTATCACTTCCTAGGGAGAGTATTATTATATTCTTATATGACTTGGGATAGGTGAAACACCCACTACTATATCAGGCTTTCAGGTGCATGACTGTGAATTGGTGATGTCAGATTAATATACAGGTTAGTTGCTTGTTTCTAGGTAACCAGAGGTGTGGTTTACAACACCAAAAATGCTAGAGGAGCGGATACAAACATTTTGTGAAGCTTTCAGATTTTAGTTTAATTTCTACATCTATTAGGCCTTTGTTTTTTGAATGAGATGTGCAGTGTTGATTGCGGCACATACTTAGAAGTGTTCCAACATAAGCTGGAATTCTGTCATACGGAAGGATAAACTTGTATACCAAAGGAATGCTGTATTATCTTTGCCCATTTATGGCTACGTTAGCTTGCTTGTTTTTATTCTCTTTAACCATTCCATTTGTATACTAGAGAGTTGCTTGGCTTGTTCAAACTATTGGGGGTACAAAACCATATTGAGACCCAGTAATAAAGCCACCAAAAGTATATACATGTATTGTCACCATTTTGTGCCATGCGAATTCTTTTGCGGAATTTTGTTATAGATCTTTTGCCTTGATTATGCATATTTGCACAGCATTTGTTTCCCTGTTCTTTTGCCTTGATTATGCATATTTGCACAGCATATGTGCTAATGATGGATTACTTAGTCTTAATAGATTCGTCTCGCGGATTAGTTATGACTTCTGTAATTAGTTTTATGATCAGTATCCGAACACCTGATGTGACAACTCCTAAACTTTAGTCTCTCATCCAAAGACACTTGCTGAATTTATATTTCAAAATGTAATACTTTGTTTGGTCTAGCGTGGTCTCCAAGGCCCACACTTTTTTGACCGCTCACGTCTTCAAGGCCACACTTTTAAGTTTTAACCGTTAATATCTCTTGTAGTCCGTCCCTCCGTTATGTAATATAGTGTATTTAAGTATTAAAAACCGTATTAACCAAATGTAAGGGATTTTAGGAGACCTAAGAGATAGTTTTGCATTAAATATTAGCACACATTTGATAGGTATTATATTGTTATTTGACATTTATCAACCAATCTTTATTAATCATGCTGATGATAGTGTCTAATTAGGAAATGGAGTAAGGGTATATGTGTCTTTTGTATTCTCCATTTTATAGCTATCATAACAAAATTGACATTATCGTACTTTGACATATGAATCTAATCAAAATAGTCAAATTTGTCCATTTGAGATAGATTAGTTTATGCAGCACAACAAAGAATCACTCATTTTGGTAAAAGTTCACATAGCTTTTGTTCCTTCTAGGCATATGAACCGGACAAATATTGTGAAACCGAGGTAGGCAATTAGGCCAAAAATCAAAAAGTTTGAATCATAGAGAGCGCGGGCGCCTTGATAAAAGGGAAAGGAAGGCTGTTTCTGGAAAAAGAAACGGAGTGTACTGTTTCCGGCAAAAAAAAGGAAAAACTCCTGATTAAGCAAGCATTTATATTCCCAAAAGTTTCCTGGTGTAGTGATTAGTGAACATAGTGAAACCCCTTCTTCCTTGTTTACACTGCAGTAGTTAATAAAAGCGCCATTTCTGCTCCCAACTTCCGATCTTCCTAAATGCTAAAATCGATATCATCATGAGTTCGCTCAAAGGCATGGGAACGACGGCGTGTTGGCGTTATGCATTTCTCGTCTAACGTTTGAAAAACCCAGTCATTTGAAATTGGTTTGTGACTTTGCGTGCCATAGCTTTTGTGGTACATGTACAGATATGTCCTGTTCGCTTGGGCTTGTTTGACTTATAAGCCGTACTTTTTCAGTTAACGAATATTATTTTTCTCTCATACTAAATCAGCCGACGGTACTTTCAGTCATGGCTTATCAGCCAAACAGGCCTAAACGAACGTAGCCCAACGGGGGTGCATTTGGGCTCTTGGACGGCTTACAGATATGCCCTGATCGCCTTCTTGTAGCAACCGGGGTGACTAAACACATGAACAAAATCCTGGCGGTCAAGTCAAATCAAACATGATTAACTTGGGTGCATTTGAGTATGCGGCCAGCCAATCCCTGGAAAACTGCAAGATCGAGTACGTGGGCTTGGACTCTTGGACGGCTGGGTTGGGCTCAGTTGGCTTACTGGAGGCAAAGCAATCTGGGCGCTAACTAACTTTAGGCCCGACTAGCCCAACGGGGATCCATTATGGGCCTATTTACAAGCCGGGCAATGAAGACTTAATAGCGTTGCCAGGTAGCTCTGGGGGAAAAAAAAATCGTATCATTAAAAACTTGTCTGGAAGCAAAGCGTTTCATTGAGTACGAAATTGTCGGCATACCGTCAAAGAGAATGACTTCGCTTAATAAGAAGGTTGATTTGGATCGTCCACGCAACAAATGACGGGACATGTGAGGGACGGAAACAAAATGTGGCGCGTTGCTCGCTAGTCACTTCTACTCCATCCATATTGGTACTGTACAGTAGATAGGTACTGTGAGCTGATCTGCAGTACGGCAGTACCAGACAGAGACAAGGTAATGAAGGCCGATTCTCACAGCAATCCAACAGTCGGTAGACAGACGTTACCGATGGAGGCCGCACAAACCGGCACACCGGTTTGCATAAGCTAGTAACTAACGGAGCCATCAATGTCGACCGATTATTGTCAATCACGTAGCTTGAAATCGCGCGTTCTCACCGCCATCATCTTCCTTCGCAGTGTAAAAACATCAGTCGTGTGTGTGGTCACCTTATACCTGACGTTCTGACCTAAAACCACCAGTCCACATTGCGGGTCGTCGACCCCCCTCCTTTCTATTGAGAACTCGACAGTCGACACAGCCAATCATCTCATCTTCCGTAGTTCTGTTCCTCCCTTTACTTTGCGCCATTCTCCCGGGCTTTCATCATTGCCCCCACGCGCACACCGGCACACGCGCACGGCGCACCTGAGTGACCTGAGTCCTGAGTCCTGAGTCCTGACCTCCTTTTGTTGCCGCCCCCGCCTTTGTTTGGATGGACGCGCGACCGACGCCAACGCCGACGCCGACGCCGCGTGAAACCCTTTTGAGAGCACGCGCGGACACGAGGCGTGCAAAGCGTCCACCGCTCCACACCCGGCGCCTGCAAAAATCTGCCAAATGCTCCGGCACGCCGCCCCCTGTTGCCCGGTGGAAGAAAAAGGTGGAGCGCGGATCTCCCCTGCCGTGCGCACGGCCATCCAATCCAACCGTCGGTTTCGTCCCCTTCCCCACCAAACTCCGGGCTCCGGAGCCACGACTCACGAGTCACGACAGACGAACGCTACCGCCGGAGCCTTGCGCGTTGGCAGCCTGGCAGGATCGTCGGATTGTTGTTAGCCTGGCGCGGGCCGGAAACGGAACAAGGAACAAAACGGAAAAGCGATTCCTTGCTTGCTCCGTTCCGTTGCTCGCTTCCCGTCCTCACTTCTCACCTCAGCCCGCACACAAACCCAGGGGCCCCACCAGCCAAAGCGTTCACTGCGGCACTGGCAGTCCGATCCAAGCCCCAACTTGTTGTAAAAAAAAAAATCCAAGCCCAACCCACTGACAGCTCCGCACACAGCTTTACCGGTCCCACGTGTCATTGGGATAGGCTCATAACTAGGGGTCGGCTAGCAGCCGGCATGGCACTATGGCAGCGCAGGCAGACAGACACCTGTCCGGCCGTCAACCTACCCTCTCAAAAGCGGCTACAAAGATCCATACCGCACTCGCCCGCCGGGCTTGCTGCTGCTGCTTGTTTGTTGCGGACTGTGGTGTGCACGGCAGAGGGCAGACTCCATACCATCACCACCACTCGCCACCCTCCCGCCCGCCCGCCCGCCATGGTCTCGCTCGCTGGCTCCCAGATCCCCTCGCCCTCGCCGGGGCAGAGCCCCTGCGCGGCCGCACGGCCGCAGCGCCGCCAGGGCCACTCCATGCGCACCATCCGCTCCGCGCTGCTGCAGCCGGACTCCTCCCCGGGGTCCACGTCCCCGGCCCCGCGCGACGGCGGCGCCGACGCGGGCGACTCGGACATTGAGAACCTCACCGACTCCGTCATCGACTTCCACCTCCGCGAGCTCGCCGCCACCGCGGGGCCCGCGCACCCGGCGGCCGTCGCCAAGTCGTCCTCCGCCATCAACGCCGCCGCCACGGAGCTGCTCGACCTGTCGCGGGACTTCTCCGACTACTCCAGCTTCAACTCCGACATCTCCGGGGAGCTCGAGCGCCTCGCCGCTGCTGCGGGCGCGGCGCCGCCAAGATCCGACGCGACGGACGCCGCCGCCGTGGATCTGAACGACCTCGAGTCCATGGATCTGTCGGCGGACGCGGCGCCGCTGGAGCGCGTGGAGCCGTTCGTGCTGGCGTGCGTGCAGGCGCTGGGGCCTGACGCCGGGCCGGACGCGCGCCGCGCCGCCGCGGCCAGGATACGCCTGCTGGCGAAGCACCGGTCCGACATCCGCGAGCTGATCGGCGTGTCGGGCGCCATCCCGGCGCTCGTGCCGCTGCTGCGGAGCACCGACCCCGTGGCGCAGGAGAGCGCGGTCACCGCGCTGCTCAACCTCTCGCTCGAGGAGCTGAACCGCTCCGCCATCACGGCGGCGGGCGCCATCAAGCCGCTCGTCTACGCGCTGCGCACCGGCACGGCGCCGGCCAAGCAGAACGCCGCGTGCGCGCTGCTCAGCCTCTCGGGCATCGAGGAGAACCGCGCCACCATCGGGACCTGCGGCGCCATCCCGCCGCTCGTGGCGCTGCTCTCCGCGGGCTCCACGCGCGGCAAGAAGGACGCGCTCACCACGCTCTACCGCCTCTGCTCCGCGCGTAGGAACAAGGAGCGCGCCGTCAGCGCCGGCGCCGTCGTGCCACTCGTGCACCTCATCGGCGAGCGCGGCAGCGGCACGTGCGAGAAGGCAATGGTGGTTCTGGGGAGCCTCGCGGGCATCGCCGACGGCCGCGAAGCCGTGGTGGAGGCTGGCGGGATCCCCGCGCTGGTTGAGGCCATCGAGGACGGCCCTGCCAAGGAGAAGGAGTTCGCCGTGGCGGCGCTGCTGCAGATGTGCTCCGATTCCCCGCATAACCGTGCGCTTCTTGTACGCGAGGGTGCCATCCCGCCACTTGTCGCGCTATCGCAGTCCGGCTCTGCCCGTGCCAAGCACAAGGTACGCAACACAAGGTTCAGTGCTACTATCCTATTGGCTAATCGGACATGATGATTTGCCTTGCTAAATTTTGTTTGAGTAGAACAATGTTGAAGTCGTTTTGAGCGTTTGCTGATGCGACTGAAGTCACTTTTGCCAGTCATCAGTTCAGAACTGATTGTACTAAACAGTATGCCGCGAACTGGTAGTATCAGTTTGAGTTTGATTGAAGTCTGATTGACACCAAGTACTGAAAAGTACACTAAAACATATAGAAAGGAAAGGGCTCGCTGTCCATGTACTCGTGGTTTAGGTAGATTTTTACCTGTTCCTAAGAAATGATCGGTGTTATCCATGTTTGTTAAAAGGCCTTCGTGCGTTGTTTGGCTGATAAGTTATGGCTGAAAGTATTGTTGGTTTAGTGAGAAAGAAAAGTATTATTTGTTAACTGAAAAAGTATGGTTTATAAGTCAAATAAGTTCAAACCAACAGGCGTTGACCTATGGATTCCATTCAAATTGTGGAGATACGCAGCTGTTTATTTATTTTTTTACACTCGTCAAGTACAGTCGGGGATCCGTGAAATCTTCCAAGGACTACAGGAGGATATGCTTGCTGTCTTCTGCACTGCAAGTCAACACTGCTGTCACTGTAGTGCTTTTGCTACTGAGCCCTGTTCGCTAGATCGTTTACGTGGAGAGAAAAACACTGTATTATGATTGATAAGCATGACTATACGATCAAGCGAACAGGGTGGGTCCTTCGAGAAAACAACATATCATGTTAAATTAAGAAAACTCCTAATTTCTTTAAAGAGAGAAGAGGAATAGCTTTGAACAATGTCCCCTCATTTGTCTGGCTTACTGTACAAGTTACAACGCATGTGCTAATCAGTTTTAGTGAATCTGAAAAGTGCTTCCAAATTCTAGAAGTTGTGGAGTCACTAAGGTTTTGTTGCAGGCTGAGACTTTGCTTGGCTACCTGCGGGAGCAGCGGCAAGGGGTTGGCTGCAGAGCTGGAGCAGTTGCAGCTACTAGCTTGGCTAGGTAAAGCAAGAATTATGTGGTCGAAATCTGCTCCATTCTCTGTGGGAGTCTTGAGAGCAGATCATCTACTCCAGGGGGTGCGATGTTCAGGTCATCTGTAAATAACAGCCGGTTCTGGTTGGTTTGGCTATGTGAATACACATGTGGTTTGCGAGTGAGGATGCTTGGTTGTTTACTAACGTAACGTCAGTTAAGAGTAAGGCTTAAGAGGGAGGGAGGATTCAGAGTCTCAGGGTACTCCCCGTATGCTAGAAGATTTGGGTGGTAATAATGACGATGGTGCTGGTTTGTAGCTGTGTACAGGATGCTAGGGTATGCTTGCTTTGTCTTGTCAGGTTATAGGGAATGTTGGATCGTCAACCATGTGTTTTTTGCTTGAGGTTCGAGTCCAAATTCCCCTGTTTCTTTTTATCTACTCAGTTTGTCATGCGAACATTTCGTGATTCTATCTTTGTTCTCAATTCTTTCGTTGCTACTGAATCCGTGTATGGTCGAGATGGGATCGGCTTACACTGCTGCCATGGATGACGGAGCTGATGTTTCCTTCCCGTGGTAGTACCATACCGTAATATGAACTCGAATGTACTATATCAAAAATCGAGCTAGCAGTTTGGCCCTACTCCAGATTTTGAGAATTCTATTAGAAAAAATCCCACAATCCTAGATTTTCATCCAAAGGCCTAAATTTTATAGGGTTTTTAACTCACGAGTTTTAGAATCTCATAATCTAATAAAACTGTCGGGATTCTTTTTATCCGGATTCTCATAATCCTTGGCATCCAAACGGTACCTTTGTAAACATAGAGTACTCTACATCTAGATTACACAGATTGGCATTGACGGGATATGAGTGGCACCGATGGAAGTCTCTGAACTCTACGGTATCAGCCAACCATTTGGCTTGGCTAGCTGTCACGAACAGCGACTCCTTTTAATGGCTGCTCTAGATCTATCATCTATCTTGTCAGTTCTTATCACTATCAGAAACGCAACACACGAACCCAAAATGTGCAAGCCCTCGCTCAAAATCTCAACGACAATCCAATCCTGGATCTTCTGCTGGACATAATTGCGATCTTCGTGAGACAAGATCGGCGCCACCCCATCGCGTTGCACAGGCTGCATAACCTCAGGTCAGGTCACTGTCCTGGCTAGCTGGCTGAGACAGGCGCCATTGGCCCGTGTCCCGGTGCCCTGTTCCTTGGCAGATGATTGGCGCAATGGCGCTGTTTAGGAGAGAAAATTTCGCTCCATCATCTTGTTTATAGGAGCATCAGAATATGACCTTTGACCAGTCTGCCTGACGGACGCGATCCAGTTGGGCGCTGGCTGCCCCGGCTGCGCCCCCAAGTCTCTGCAACTGACCTGTTGTTCAGTGCCGATCCCTGGTGCATGCATGCATGCCAGGGATGGAGGATGTGACGACGACGTTGATTCGATTGGGTCGATCGCTCGCTTTCATCGCCATTTTGCAGGGATCTTGACCAGCCGGATTGAAATGGTGAGATAGACGAGGAACGTTAGCTGAACCGATAGGCCAGACGCCAAATTTTGCCTCTGATTTGGTGAACAGCTTGAAGCAACTGGGCTGCAGATATTCAGTAGTAGTAATATGTTAAGTAGTGTGGTGTCGTGTACCACTTGGTCTTGTAGAATAGAAACAAGAGGCATCAACAAGCTCCGTCAGAATCAAGCAACCATGTCAAAACTTCTGCTCCAACACCCAAATTGGATGGTCAATGATATACTTGTTTAATAAATTGTAAGTCATTAGTCATTTCAACTATGTATTAAAAAAGACACGACAACTTACAATTTAGAATGAAGAAAGTAGAAAAAGTTGGACGGACGGTCAGCGTATAGCAGATCTTTCATCAGATTGCATGCTGGAGAGCTTTTCTATGGCCAACTACCAGTACCAACAGAGGTCATACGCCACGCAAGGAGCCACATTTGAGAGAGCAGGGCCATTTCCTCAGCCTACGAGCCAAATTTGCATCTGAATTGGCCCTCTCTCTGTATCTAAAAGCTGCGTTAACAGCTTGCAACAACAAGTCTTTCAGATATTCAGCAATATCTTAACAAACGTCATATCGTGTCCCACTCGTGCAAGACTCAAAAAACAAGAGGCACGGGCAAGCTCCGTCTGAACGCTAAACCCGCTGCAAAGGTTGCCGCGTCGGTATTCGTCGTATGGACCATCATCTCAGCCGGTCAGCGTATAGAAAAACTCAAAGAAAAACGTCACCAGGTTCCAAGTTGGACCATATCCTACCGCCGCTGACGGCCATACCACACAGACGCACACAGCCGAGACCGCCCTGCCATAAACAAGTAGCTGACGCTGTCTGCTGGCAACTTGCAAAGCTATTCGCTTCATGATCTGTAAAATGAGCGGCGTGCACTGTTCCTTTCCCGCCACTCCTTCGTCCGCTAGCTCGTGTCCTCGTCCCCGTTACAGACTGTACACAGGGTGCAACAGGGCAGCACGAAACCTGTAAAAAACAAAAACAAAAAAAACTATCCTTCCCTGAAAGGAACGGCTCAAGAAATCTTGGCCGCCGTCGCCGTCGATCGACCAGGGAGGCCCGAGGCTGGGATGCTCCGCTGGCGCTGTCTTCTGCGGTTCCGTGCGGCCCCGGCTGCATGGTCCGGTGACGAGGTGTTGGCGCCGGTAACGGCACGGCCATGTGCGCCGGCCGGCCGCGAGGACAGATGCGGTGCGGCCGTGCTGTACCATCACCGCACAGGCACTGTGTTTGCACCTGGCAGGAATGAGGACGAGGGTCGCGTAGGCATGTCAATGGACCTCAACCGTCCCGTCCGTGCACCAAGATGGCACGCAGCGCATCCACCATCGAATCTACCCATGCGATTTTTTTAACCTTTTTTAATAATAAATTCTAAATCTAACAAAGTTGCTTTTTTATTTTCAAATCTAACCCGTTTGATCGTACCTGAGTCCGTACGGTCAAAACACGCTGTTGCGCCACATGCATCGGCGCAACACAATCTGCCACGTCGACAACGATTTCCACGTGGAAATCCTCACCGCGCCACTCCTGTTGGCGCGGCAGCACTGTAGCCCAACCGCCTAACGTGACAAGGTGCAAACTTAGAAAAATTATATCTTTTTCATACGATGTCGGATGAATATGATTTTTATATGAAAATTGTAGCTTTTGACGAGATCTACAACTTTATAGTTTTGAGTTTTTTAATTTGAGGTCATTAAGATGCTCAAAAAAATTAAACAATGTTTGAGCAGTATACTAATCGCGTATAAGTGCTTATCGCATTGGAAAAATCGTATCTCTCATATATGGGGTCAAATGGAGATACTTTATATATAAAAATTTTATCTCTCGACGAGATCTACAACGTTCTAGTTTTGAGTTTTTTTTTTAATTTGAGGTCGTTAAGATGCTCAGAAAAAACAAATAAAGTTTCAGCAGTATATTAATTGCGTACAAGTGTTTGTCGCCATAGAAAAATTGTATCTTTCTTATATGGTGTCAAGTGAAGATATTTTCTATATGAAAGTTGTAGCTTTTGATGGGATCTACATCTTTATACTGGGGATGGAGATGCGGCGTTTCCTGCATACGCGTGGGCACACGTGAAACGAAGATATCGATGGAACCTTTTATAAATTCGATTGACTAACTTGTTCAAATTATTAATGAATTTCCTTCTTGATGGAAGTTGCGCTCACCTAAAGTGTGGCGCTTAAATTCCCCTCCATACAATTGGTAGCTTTGGTACATACACTAGAGCATGCCGTGTTTTCTTTGGCACGCCGCAAGTAGGGCAGGAGCCAAACGTGTAGTGGCATACCGCAGCTGTGTTGCAAAGAATTGCGGCAACGAGCCAAACAGGCCCTAGATACGAGATAGAAACAAAAAGATTCGAAGTTTATTAGACCTCGCCAATTTACAATTAACTATGGCTAATGTTAGTAACTTTTTTCACCATCTTTGGATTAACCTTTTATGCAAAGCGAGTATAAAAGTGTAAGTGAGATAGTAATATTGTGTGTTGAGGGGGCACCTTCGGCAAGCCGCCCTGACGAACAATCAACTGTTAAGAGGGACGTTCAGCGGTGTCGGGGACCTAATACCGGGGTACCCAATGAGGTGGAATTAATAACCATCGAACGTTGATGCTTTCGGTCAGACAAGAACGCTACTACACTTCTTGCCCGAACGACGGAAGATTGGTTCCGCCTCGTCCGACCCCCAAGGGCTAAGACTCCGCCTCGTCTGACGGCTGAGGGCTAGCTCTGCCTCGCCCGACGTCCGAGGGCAGTTCGCCGCCGCCGGTGAGGGCAGCGAGCCCGCCGCCGACGTTTCGAGGGCGTGCTCGCCTCGCCTCGACGATCGCCTCTACTCCTTCATAAAGACGAGCATATGGTACGACAGGACATTTAAGTCAACCGTAGTACCGAGGGCTATGCCCTACATGCCTGCTGGAAGGTACTGTCAGGATACGATGGGATGGGCGCTTTAGGCCCTTTCCGACCTGACAGAGCCTGAACAGTGTTGTAGGCGCCGCCATCAGCCCTCAGACACGGATACTAACACAAGCATACGACAACCACTATGATCCAAGTCAGAACTCACATCATCTACAGTGACGGACATATGGTCACTTCCCCATCTACTCCCTAAAGGGTCACAACTCGGCAATCTGGCACGCCGCATCGTCCGCCGGTGTAGGATGGGACGCACCCACTTGCTGAATGAGGCCAGGGCACGACCCTATGAGGATCTACGAACATGCCATCCCTGACACGATCTGCCATGTTAGCAGGACAGGCGCAGGGGAAAAGGAAGACCCGGCCTCTTCGAAGGACCTTCTCCACTCTCTGGTCTTTTCTGCTGTCTCCCATCTGTAATCCCTGCTCCCCCTTGGTCTATAAAAGGGGGGACACGACTGTAACACCTCGGGTGTTTAAAATACTAAAACCTGACATGTCATCATATGCATTGCAAAGCATTTGGC